GTTTTCTTCTAATAAAAGATTTCTTTAAAAAAAAAAAAAGAAATAAAACACTAATAGCACAAATGAATACTTTCAGATCCCTCTCCTTGATCTTACCCTTTTCTCCTCTTAAAGGGAACCAAGATTCTGTTTCACATTTTTAATTTTCCAGTACAGAACCAGGTTTTATTCTCTACCCTAGTAAAGGCTAATTGACATACTCTGGGGTTTGTTTGTGGTTTTGTGTTGTTTTGTTTTTTTTTTTGCCTCCAGGAGACAGATCATAGTTATTAAATTTTTACTGCTTCTCTATCTTTGGGGTACAGTCAGGCCACTGTTATATGTGTGCAAAAAAGAATGTTGTATGAGAGCATTGGTGTTTGTTACCTCCAGCAACTGCACAAGGCACAAGAATCCCCACCAATGCAACAGCAATAGCCCAAACTCAATTCTTAAGAGGTCAGTCACCCCTTGCCCTGGCCATCCTCCAAAGCTTCTACTAATCTAACTCAAACTACCCTTCCCCATGGCACTTACTGCGTCTCTACTAGATTGACTATTTCACTGCAGTGGCCACACGGAACTCACAGACAGTAGTCACAGTTATGAGATTTATTAGGGAAGTAACAGGTTACAGTTCAGGGCTGTGAACACTCAGTGTACAGTTCTTTAGTAAAAGCAGCCTCTTCTCAGGCAGGCCAAAAGACCAGTCTCTTTCTGACCTCTTAGTCTTGTAGCCTGTCCTCTGCCCTGCTCAGGCAAGCGTGACAAAGAGTAATTTTTAGCTCTGCAGGTTGTGTACTTAGTGGCACTCCATTCTGCCAGAAAGCCTATGCCTGAAAGTGCTGGGCTCCATGGGTTGGGAAACCTAGCTCTTTGCTTAATACCCTGAAGCACCCACCTGCTGGTAAGCCCTCAGCTCTGCCTTACACCATTCATTGATTTCAACCACTTCTGCTGCTATGGCTGCTGCCAGCTCTTGTGCTGATCATCCTTCCCTGTTCCTCCAGTGTTACACTCTTTGTTTCTGGTTTGAGTAGGGATATGAGGTTAAAAGGATGTTCAATATTCTCTGATTCTCTCTTGATGGTAACAATAGCCCCCTTTTCTGCCCCTGTGATGTCGTCTTTAAAGCCTGACAAGATTATAAAAACTGACTAATCTCCATTTCAGTGCTGCACTCACCTGATTTTCATTATGGGTAAGCTATCTAATCCCATTGTTGGCTAACAGATACCTCACCTTTGCTTAGCTCTACCTAGTCACTTGGTGGGAAATTCAAAGACAATGTCTAGAAAAATCATATTCATGAGTCCACTACACTACAATGTAATAATACAGCTTAGAGATGACTTTTGTGGTCTCTATTAGCCATTGAAAACCCCACGGAGCACAGCTCTGCTCTGACACACACGAGGTTACCAGCATTCAGAGTGCTCTGAATGGCAGCTGGTAGAAGCTCTATGACTTTGCAGAGTAAGTGATGGAGAATTGAAGGGTGGCACTTTTTCCTGGCATGCACTATTTGGACAGGTACAGTAAAGCATAAGCTGATGTCATTGTGATCTGGGGACAGCCAGATGTGCAGGCTGTTTGGGATCAGCATTGCTGTGAACTGTGACACTGGAAATGGAAATGCCTTTCAAAGCCCATCTTACCGCTCCTTAGGGAATACGTGACGTCTTCACAGCCTTCAGAAAAATAGTCCTGCTGAAATGAAAAATACTACTTTTAAATGTTTTGCTCAGAAAAAAAAATCTTCAAACTATATGAATGACTTCCTGAGGGAAGTGAAACTTATTGTGACTTATGTACACTTTCTGGTGTGTAAAACCTGGAAGGATTGAAGCAATAATTTTGGAGTGGTTAAATTTTAATAAAAATAACAGTGCAAGCAAGATTACTTCCCTCCTGCTGAGAGAATGATAAATAATTTTGAAATCCTGATGGAAGCCCAGGTGCCTCTTCCATTTTTATTTATAGATTTATTAACAGCCTATGCTTTGCACCCTGTCACATTTTTTCTTTTAAAAATAGCAGCTAACAATTTTCACCTAGCACTCACAGTCATTTGAAAAGATGATATCTTTAGAGAAAGCTTGCAGTCGATCACAAGATCTTTCATTAGACTTAATTTTATTCAGAAGCCTGTTTTTTTCCAGAAGCCTAGCATTAAATGCCTATAAAAATCATCCAAGAAAGCTTTGAAGAACAAGCACTAAATATGAAGAATGGAAGCTCTGATGGTGCAGTCTTTAGGAAGTTGTGCTCCTTGCCCCAAAGGTGGCTTCTTTCTGGTGCTTTGAATCCACAGCCACTTTATAGCAGATGGGAAATCTTCTCTGGTGCAATAAAAACTCCAAAAGCCATTCTGGAAGGTCAGTTATGAGTCGATGGCACTGAGAGAAACTACATTCTGATTTATATGAAAAAATAGATTCCTGCACACCCATGTTTATCGCAGCTTTTTAGCAAGGAGCTGGAAACAACCCAAGTGCCCATCAACAAACGAATGGATAGAGAAGCTGTGGTATATTCACATAATGGAATACTACTCTGCACTGAAAAACAAGGAACTCATGCAATATTATTCAAAATGGGTGTCTCTGGAGTACATTATGCTGAGCGAAGTACCTCAGTCACAAAAGGACAAATACTGCATGGTGCCACTGTTGTAGAATGGGACTGACATCAGGGTTGGGGTAAGACTGAGAAAAACTGGATAAATTATGTATAGTGCATTGAAACAGATGAGGGAGAGAACAATTTAAAAGCGATTATATGATAGGGTATATGGTTATCACAAGAGTCTAGAATTAAGGTTGCATAGTGGTGTGTACTGAGGGGGTGGAGGGTGGGTAGTGTGGGGGGGGGACTGTATACCAATGAAAGAATTTTTCTTTTACTTTTCAAAGGGAGGAGTGAACTGGGACGGGGAGGGCTGGGCAGGGAGAAAAGTGCAACAATGAATGGAAATCCAAAATTTCTGTAAATGTTCATTACAATTAATAAAATAAAAAATATTATAACATAAAAAAAGAATAGATTCCATTTATTACCTTCTGGTCTGTTGGACACAGGACGGATAGGGATCTAACTGGGTCTTTCTATATGAACCTATCTATCAAGTTAGATGAAGGAGGAAGTCAAACTGTCCTTACTTGCCCACCCATGATTCCTAATTTGAATGCCCATTAGCAACTGGGCTGTCTTGAGATGTTACCCACCACTATTGTTCTTGATCTTTTCCCAAAGTAGTTTATTGAGGTAGATTCTCTCCCATCATTGTGTAAGGAGCATTGATATCTACCTCTTCACCCTTAAATCGATATAACATCTGTTTTTCCAGGATTGATCAGGATTGTTTAAAACCACTCTTTTAAACCTAGCATTGTTGCTTTTGTTTTTCAGACTGTTTATTCGATGGCTCCATTTCCTTTCCCACAGTTGGCAGAGTTGAGGGAAAAGTACACCTATAACATTACACCATTCCCAGCCACCGTAAAAGCCACCTCAGTTTCTGGGTAAGAAACTTTCCCCCTTCCCTTCTTGGCTGCATGATGGGATATCCAATACCTTAATTTGTTGTTGTAAACTAATATTCCTTAAGCTTCAGAAATATGTCAGAATAATTTGGTACTTAATAATCTAAAAGTCTCTTAAAGGATTTGACTTAAAATTCAAGAGGGGCTATCAGAGCAATTACAGTTTTTTAATAGTAGAAGTTGAATATATTTAAAAGCATAAGCTGAAGGCTATTTATAGCATTCCTTCAATAGCGTGGCACCAACTTGTTTTAAAATACCAGATAATGAAGTCTCAAAATAGTGTACATGATTAGACAGATGTCTAATTTAAAGTAATATAAAGACTAGAAATTGAGCAAAATTTAATCTAGAAATCTGGTATATGAGAAATTGGCATATCGAATCAATGGGGAAAAGATACACTACTGAGTAAATGGATCGATGAAATCTGATCTGGGAAGAAAGGAAGTTCACACCCCATATCAGGACAAATTCCATACAGAGGAAAAAAGAACAGTTGGTAAGAATGAAATCATAAAATTAGCAGAAAAATGTGGGAGAATTCTTTTAAATCTTTGGAATTGAGAAGACCTTGTTATACTGTTTCAGGTGAAAAAAATTATCAAAAGAATTAAGATTTAAGTACATTAAATGTTTTCCTGCAGAACCCAAATGAAATAGAATAAAACAAAAAATTCCTTAAGCAGATTTAAAAACATCTGGGAAGAACACCTTTTAACTCAGTACCTGAAATAGAATCATATTCAAATAAAAAGCTTATATTCTAACATATCAGATTTTTAGAAATCAGTAAGAAAATGAGCATTCCACTGAAGAGGAGTCCAAGGGAGGTCAAGAGATGGTTCACATGAAAGGCAGCATCACTCATAATAAAAGAAATTTGATTTAATACTGTAACTTGCCAGACTGGCAAAAATGCAAAAGGTTTATAACACACTGTATTGATAAGGCTATAAGGAAACAGACACTCTTTTTTTATTTCTTTTTTTTTTTTTGTGGAAACAGAAATGCTCTTTAATTATTGCTGGGTCTACACATCGACAGAGCTTAAGGCCAAGGCAAGCTGACAACTCATATTAAAAATGCACAGTACATGCACTTTTTAAATTATTATTATTAAATTTTATTAGTTTCAATGAACATTCACAGGGATTCTGGGCTTTCACTCCTTCATTGCCGCACCATTCT